GGGGCAGTCTCGTTCAACCAATGGAACGTCGTTAGCTCTTTCGTGATTGATGAGCCGAGCCAATATGTGGGTGACAATCTCAAGGTAGTGCGAGGCAGGAGACACGGGCCACTCCAAACTCCGGGGTGCGCTCGTGTCGAGTCGAGTCACGCCTGAGTGTCTCCCTTGCCTGAGCGAGTGATGGGGCGGTGCTTAAACTCCATTGGGCAACGCTGGGCCATTGGTGGAAATTCCATGTTTCCATTTGTGGGGGGCCCCCGGGGCTCCATGAAAGATTGACCGCTGCAGACTTCCCACGAAGCAGTATTTATTTTGAGTCAGCCGGATAGATAGTAGTTTGACATGAATTTGAATGGATAACGTTTTTCCCCATTGTGCACTTCCGATTAGCACGGTTGGATACTTACGGTGCAAAATAAGTTCAACATACATGTTAAATTATTCGGAAAATCCCATAAATGAAGCAAAAAATTGTTGTTTGAAAATGTGATGAATTTCATCAACATTACTTCACAGCCAAAATCCATTGCTGGATTCAAGCCTTCCCACATCGTGTCAGTCATAGGGGTTTGTTTTTACTATACTTCACCCTTCTGGTCATTGCGGGTTGGTTAAGGGGGACTCAAGATCAGTTTAAATATCATCATCATCATCGTGATCCATGGGCAGATAGTCCGTAGGTGTCACACTGCATAGTTCATCATTTGTTTCTAATTTCCTCTGCCTTGTGCCACTATATGCTCAAGTAGTGGCCACATCATTCTGGCACCAATCTCTTATGATGTCGTCGTCAAGCCATTCTCTGTTAGGTCTTCCTCTCTTTCCGGTTCCTTCCATTTTACAAAACAACAACAACAACACACTTTGACTTTTCCTGTTGTTGTCCATCCTACACGTGTGTCCAAATAGTGGTGCCAGTTTCCTTCTCATCACTCCCTGCATCATCGCCGTCATCAGGTTGTCTTCTTCTACGTGAAACCTTTGTCTTACGTCTACGTTGGTCACTCTTTGGGGTCCAGCTTAGACGCAGCATCCTCCTATAGCAATACATTTTGAATGCCAATATCTTGTCTCCGTCAGTCTTTTTCAATGCCCACGTCTCGCAGGCATAGAAAGCTGTGCTGAACACGCATGGTCTTAATATGTTCAGTTTGGTCCTTCAGCTCATTCGCTTGCTTCTTAAGATGTTATTGAATCCTGCCATTACTCCTCTGTCTTCCGTGCGGCCGTTGTCCCATGTCAGTAGACTTACAAAGTACACAAACTCCTTTACATTCGCAATCTTGCTGATTGATAGTATTACTTTTATTTCTCAAAGTCCTCCCTTCTGAATAACATCGTCTTTGTCTTTTCAACGTTAATCCTCAATCCTGCATCCTTTCCTGACTTATACAACCTATGAACGCTTTACCGCTGTACTACGCAGCTTTTTTGATCAGATCTATGTCGTCCGCAAAATCTCATGTTACATATTATTTCTCCTTGCACAGATATTCCAGTGCCATTGTAGTTTAGATATCACTTGCCACTTATGTTTGGCCGTGGCTGGATATTGAACTTGGATTGCCAGGTTCACAGCCCAGCAGAGGTGTGGACTCGAGTCATGTGACTTGGACTCGAGTCAGACTCGAGTCATGAATTTGACGACTTCAGACTCGACTTGGACTTGCATAACAATGACTTTGTCCCACCTCTGCAGCCCAGTGCACCACAGCTCCATGCATCTGTGTTACTTGAATTGATCACCCACGAAAGCACCTTCACACCTCTTTGAAATGTAAAATTCGCATTGTATAGTTGTGCTGTATTGTAAATGAAACGTTATCAATGACAATAGTTCATATACGTATATAGATCTCACTGCATCTCAAGGGTCATTGCAAGAAGTTTCTACCAAAGATATTATGCCTGAGTTCCCAGAGGGAAAAGAAACCAGTCATGCACAACAGAGTGTAACGATAGAAACTCCACACAAAAACGTCAGCAATACACAAGCGGCAGCGGAAAAGTTTGCGGAAAAACAAATAAATCGATGGCCTCCTCATCGCCGATCGCTTCCCACATTCGGGACATTGCAGCTCTGATGACTTCCCAGTAACACGGCGTATTTGGGCAAAACACTTGGGGAGGATCTCAAAGGGAAATTACCTCTGTTGTTCATAATAATAAAGCTTTTTTGGATTAGATCGCGGAAGTATAAATGTTTCGTAACCCTCCACCACCCGACGCAGCCAGTAAGGTTTGCCACGTAAACAACGCGTCAATTAGTGACTATTTCAGCCCACCGGTGCGTTGGAGAGTAATTCCACAACGTTTTAGACTGGCTACCTCCGTTGTATTCTCACACGAACCTCGTTTGTTTTATTTCAGGAAAGTAATGCTCGACCTTGATGAAAACGTCTTATTTTCTTCTTCTACGGAGTCTTTCTTGAAGTGATAAACACTTGAGCAATCCGTGAGTTCCAAGGCTTCAGTCCCTGTCTGGAAGAACTATTTGTCTCACCTCTCCAGCCACTCAATCACAGAGCACATTTACGTCACTACTGTTAATTCAAACATTAAAACGCTTAAACCAAAAAGTTATTCTTCATCTGCAGAAAACATCTGTAAGGCACTGGGCTCCTTACAGACGTTTTCTCCAGTTAGTATAAATTGTCTCCGTAACTTGGAATTTGTTCACATTTTTGGAGCAATGGAAACAACATGTGTACCACATTTGCAAATTGCTCATTTGTTTGAAATGTGGCAAAGTTACTCAAGACTATGAGACATTTAACTTGCGCTTAGAATATTCCACCGTCCTCTCTTCCCCCCAAACCAAGTCGACGTGTCACATGAGTCACAATGCCACGCGAGAGTGCACGCTTTGGTTCTTTCGAAAAAGTAACGTAGAAGGGAAATAATAAAATAATACAAATAAAACATAATAATAAAAATATCACTATTTTTATTATTTTATTATTTCCCTTCTACGTGACTTTACCGAAAGAACCAAGAATATGAATCCCTGCAGTCACGAAACCCTTAAATCGAAAAAAAGTGCACGCTTTTTCAACTCTGCGAATATAGTGGCCTCTAGTGGCCACACAGGTCATTTGAACCTATGACATGCACCTTATCAACGTATCATTACGCCCCGAGGTGGCAAGATGTTAACTACCTCGTCTGGTATGCAGGAGGTCATGGGTTCAATCCCAACCCTGGCGCCTGCTGTCTATTTGGATTTTGCATGTTCTCCCTGTGGCCGCGTAGATTTGTCTCTGGGCCCTTCGGGTTTTCCCTCCACATTTAGAATCAACGTGCGTTTATAGTATGCGGCTGCTATGAATTTGCACGTGATAAGCCACTTCCATGAGCTATCACTTTTGTCCAGGTCACTCCTAAAAAAGAACTGCATAGCTCAGTGGGCCTTACCTGGTAAAAAATAAAATGGGTTAGTTGAACTTTTTTGTTTTGTTTTATTTACCCTTCGCTGTGTTTCATGAGACCAGGGAATGTTTTGATCATCCTTCCTATCCGATGCACTGCGTCTGGATGTATGTATCTATGTATGTACATTTAACTTTTTTAGCACCGTACGTAGCCAACCTCGCTAATCGGAGGTGCGGGGAGAAGGACACCAAACTAAACAACCAAAGCAGCTCTAAAGAAACGAGTTTTTCAATCGAGATGATTTAAAGGTGCAGCGCTCCCACTGGCTCCCTGATATCAGGCCTGTGTCCCATTGCCCCCGTGGAATAATGCACCCCAGGGGGTGGGGGGGGGGGGGCACAGCGTTCAAAATGTACTCACCAGGACTAAAGCAGGACTTGATTTTTCCCCAATTACATTCAAAAGATAATGATCAAATAGCGCAAGTCAAGATCTATAAGTATATTGGGGTCATCCTTGATTCAAAACTGAATTTTCAAGAACACATTGATTATATTGCTAAAAAGGCAAAAATATAAATTGATTTTCTGTATCGACACATACACTGTTTTCCACCGATGTTCCGTTTGTAACTGATAAAAGCAACCATAATGCCTCTACTTGATTACTGTGACATCGTTAATCGATCAGCACCCAGTACTGTTCCGAAGAAGCTTGACTCAATATATCATTCAGCCTTAATATTTGCATTCAACTGCCCATATAGGACCCACCACTGCGTTCTCTACATTTAGTCAAACTTAACATCTGTTAATGATCGACGTCTTATGCATCAGATATTATTTATTTACAATATACTTACAAAAAAATCTGCATATTATCTCATGGATCTCCTTATTGTTTCGGAAAACAAATATGAGCCAAGATCTTCGCTCATTTACCAGCTTCGCATTCCTAATTGCCGTACCAATACTGCTATAGAAGCCCCCAGGGTCTGGAATGCTATCACAAATAAACTCCAGCTTGGATCGTTACCAACAAGACCATCACTCAAAAATGCTCTAAAGGGGTCATACAACCATAGCTGCCACTGCTATCCTGTGACCCGAAATAAAATATATAGCTATAGATGACCGATGTATGAAATAAATATGTATTTTGATTATAGTGCGCTGCTACTGCTATTGTTAATTCGGCAGTTAAGGATTTACTTATGCAGCTAGCGAAGGATGCTAGGTTTAGTGATGCGTGTTGTGTGTGTCGCTATTGTAAACCTTTAATCACATTTGTTGGGAAAACTGTTGCGTTGTTTACATAGCATTGTTTAGTACGTTTTAGAGGGGCTTGGTTTGGCCCAATTTTTTGATTTAGTATAGATTTATACATACAATTTTGATCTGTATTGGGATCAAAAATCGAAATTGAATTTTTTGCACTCTTTGTACGCAGCATGGACGGGTGGCGCTTTTTCTGTAGAATGTAATGTTTATGTTTGTGATGTTTAGATTTGTGTACAATGAATTTTAGGTCTTACTTGGAATTGTATTGTTTGTTGCGGTTGCACCCAAATCAAGAGCCGAATGGCTCACAGGGTAAGTCCTAATAAATCAAACTGAACTGAAACTGACCTTTACAGTGAGGCACCGGGAAGTCCCACGTGGCCTTCTCCTCCTGGTTGGTGATGCAGGTCAGGGCCGACTGGCCCTCCAGCACGTAGCCCGCCACGCAGCCGTACTGCACCTGGTCGCCCAGCTTGAAGCGCGAGCCCCGGATGAACGCGTGGGGAGGCACGCCTGGGTTTCCGCACGCCCCGCTCTGCAACACTGACAGGACGGACACGACCCGCTTTGGGTTAACAGGACCGTCATCGCATTGAATGGGTGTACCCATTACAAACACGCCTCGGTGCGACTATGGCCATGCAATCACAATTATGGACCAATGCAGTAAACCACTGGTAGTCTGTGTTCCTTCAACGGAGCAAAAACGACATTAACTCTTTCCTGAAGCCATCTTGTAGCTCACAGGCCTCCACATTGCTATCTTGCTCCTGCACCATAGCGCTGCCATCGAGCGCAAGAAGATACATCAGAATATGCTGGAGGAATCCTATGAGCTACAAGAGGTCTTTCATTACAAATGTCCGGTCGTTTTCACAGATGTCCAAATCCCGTCGACGCACGTGTGTGCATCAGTGGTGCTCGTCTCTGTTGTGGCCCCTGTGCCAGCAGTGTCAATTCCACATGCCCAATGACAAGCCCTGCTGCATTTCCACAATGTTGTGCAACGTTATTGACCGGAGGGAGATGATCGGTTGCGACACCAACATGTTATTTCAACCCCAACTTTTCGATGGCGAGAATTGAGAGCCGTGCAGCAGCAGCAGCAGCAGCAGCAGCGGCAGCAGCAGCGGTGGCAACACCCTGCAGTGATCAACAGCGAGGAGCTGTGATTGACGGGAGACGAGCAACTCACGATACTGGAATCGCAAACAAATTCAAGTATTGACTCTGTCTCTCGTCTCGTTCTTGGCAATCTCGTTTGAAATCGTGTCTCCACTTTCCCCGTCCCGACTGTACAGTTGTGTTCACCCTGTGAGTCTAACATGTAACATTCGCTTGCCATATTCTTGTGATTTGTGTACCATGAAGTGAAGTAAACACCTCTCAAAGCTGGATTCGAGAAAGCTGGGAGGTTATTTAAATAAAATAATAAATAATGCTTAGCAAAAAAAAAAAATCACAAAAACAACACTGTCTGGCCACAGATTAAATTGGGCATGGTGTGGGATGGCACGTCCATGAGTGCTTGCCATTCTAAAGCGACGTTCACATGCTGTGCTTATCCGCTTTGTGGCATTTTGGTAAACCGTTCCTTTGGACACCACGTGCTCTGTTAGTCCTCTCTGTATCTCTCTCTCAAGTCTTTTTTCATGTATATTTCACAAACAAACAAAATACATTCTTCAAACCCTGCAGAAAATATATTCAGCAATTCACATCCCACAAAAACATCAGCGTCCCCCCCCCCCCCATTCTCTGAAGGTGACTCAAACTATACCGTGCAGTGGGGACCTTGTGTTCGTGCATTGCAAATTGAACATTGTTCACATATTTGACTTTGTTGTCATTCGGTGTTAATCGAACGCCTTCGATGTTTTTTGCGCGAAAGTAAAACACTGCATTTCCCCCCCTCTACATGATTGTATTATTTTTCCGTATCTTGCGGGAGATCTTTCATAACCGGAAGGGCTCTCTTTTCTCTACCGGTGCGGCTTTGCAAGGCTTTTTTAGAAACTGTGCATTGATGTTCACACGCACGCGATTCGTGCACCTATCATGAGCCTGAAAAAAAAATCAATACTGATGAATCAATGCATAATTACACCCCTAATTAGTAACGATTGCCAGCCTCCATAACTCCTTAATTAGGAATCTATAAAGGAAGTACTACTCTGCGGCACGTCAATAGCAATCATCTCATGGAGACTGTCCACGGCGTTTTTCAGAATGTGGCAATTTGACCACTTGGTTGTGAGCCACGGATGGGAGGATGAGTTGGGTGCCCCCTCGCTCATCTCAGCAGGGAGACACGTTGTGATTATTATTTTTAAATACAAACCACCAGAAATGTCAAGGATCACTGCAACCCCCCCCTCCCACCGCCCCCAGCCCCCTCCATAGACCAAAATAAAACGACGCTTTCGCTGTGTGCCGGTGGCAGCACGCGGCTCCTAGCTATAGTGGCGACCGACTCCACCACCTCTCGGCTGGTTCCAGTCCCGGGTCGAAAACGGGTGAACACGGGCAGCGTACGACGACGCGATGGCCGTGGCCTGATTCAGCGAAAACGTTGTTTATGCCCAAAAGCACGGCGGACGCTGGACCCTGCCGAGGAAGCGAAACGGCGACACGGCGAGAACTCGTACCCACGAATGAACGACGCCGTTAATTATAACGGCATCGGAGGTGTTCTCAAAGCGGCCGGTCCGTGCGGTCCTCGCGAGCGTGACCAGCGGGAACCGGCGGTCAGCTGGGAAAGTGGCACCGTGACCAGCACTGCACGCTGCCCTGGGAAAACGCGAGGCGGACGTTTTGTAGCCTCCTCAAATTGAAGCCACCACTCTGTCGACGTTAACTGAGTCAGCCCTGAGTCACGCGTGGAAGTTTCACATTCTCGTGGCGGGAGGCAGTCTCCCCTTAACCACTGTCGAGTCAGAACAAAGTGGGATCTTGTTTTTTGAGTCTCGCGAAAAAACCGTCCCCCTTCCATTCCGCCGCCCTCCCTTCCCACACCCCACATATTTTACAAAACTAACAAATATATATATACGTGGCGGAAACATTGCAACAATGGAGCACAATTGTGCTGAATAAGGAATCCCATACGAGAGCGAACTCTGTCCACGCCGATGATCGCGTGCACATTCGCATGAGAAGAAACAACGCCACCGTGGGCAACGGGCCCCCTGCCTCCCCGTGCTCATCATCGAAAACGAACCCACAGCCACAACTCACAGCAGCGCAGTCGCTCGGAGCCGCAGATTCATTGCCTTTGAGTGCACCCACGAGAGGTGAAGTTCTCTCTCTCCGGTCGAGCTCTCCTCTCTATCTCTCTCATGGTCGCCATTTAGAGGCAATAAGCAGTCCCTAATTAACGATGTAAAACCATTTTGCAGATTGAATGCTTTTGTTTACAGAAGCTCAAAAAAACCACAGTCACGCTCACGTCGCTGCACCAAACGGCGTGATTTTTTTTTTGCGGATGACGAAACAAAGAACTGCACGCTCGCCGATCGGAGCGTCGGTTTTGGCCGGCCGCGCATCGGGCACGGCCGAGGAAGTCGAGAGGGCCGGGCGTGGAGGCTGACGGCCCACTTGCTGCTATACGAGAGGTGGGTGGAGGTGGTGAGGGTTGGATCGAGGGGAGGGTGAGAGGTGGAGGGGGTTGGTGGTGAGGTCTAGATCGGCCACTGAACGGCACGGAGGAGAGTTCGTCTGTCTGTCCCAGCTTGCGAACATCGGTTGAGAAGCGCTCTGTTTGAAGGATCCTCGGTGGTATTTTACTCAGCTGAGCTACTGCGCTCTGGTTGCAGACCCCGTAACTGAATGGTTGTAAGTTAGAGCCCGGTCACAGGTCAACTCGGCACACCATCAATTCGGGGTTGCTGACACGATTGCCACTTTGCGTGGTGTTTAAATCGACCAGTTCTCACCGTGTGTGTCATTCCCAAGGCCATCTATGGAGATGAGCACCGCCACACGCGCATAAACATGTGGAGTCACTTTAATTTTGGATTCTTTACGTAATGTATACATTCCAGAGTGTTCATAAAATTGTCATCCATAAAAATGTTTTAATTATCATGCACAGCAGTGAGCAGTTCTCCTGCTGTGTTTGTTTCACCTGATGACGGTTGCTTGTGTCGCGATCGAAACGTCGTGATCTATTAATTTTCTATCTACGTGACTTTACCGAAAGAACCAAAGAGTATGAATTATCATTCTTACGTAACAATTATTCTCACAGAATGAAAATTAGACAGCAGTTTGTGTAAAATCCACGGATGAAATGTTGGCAACATATTACGTATGAATCTGTATTATATTTATTTTAATTCAAATCTTCAGTGACCCTCAAGAGAACGTAACAGAAGCATTCGATGCAATCACAGCCGAGACGGTGGCTCTCTCGAATCTCGACACGGTGCGTACCGCCAACGGCACGGCGGACACATGGAGGGCCAGAGGGATCTGGAATTCACGCCACCAATCGCTTGTGTGGGTGGGTTGGATGAGGTGGAGGCGGCTGCCCTCCACTAACAACAAAGAGCGAAGTGACACCACAGCGAGAAGAGTGCTGGGTGATTGAAGCACTGGGGAGCATGTTTGGTGCATCTGGCAGTCATCTAAGTCTAGATTTGAAGCTTTCGTGACTGCAAGAATGCATACTCTTAGGTTATTTCGGTAAAGTCACGTAGGTAAAAAAAAGTTACTACAAGTAATAATAGAAATAAAATAAAATATTTCGATTATTACTTTTAGTAATTTTTTATTACATTTTTTTACCTACGTGACTTTACCGAAAAACCTAAGAGTAGTCATCTAAGTCGTATAAACTAAAATAAACTATTTTTTTAATTTATCAGGTAAGGCCCCTCTGAGCTATATAACTTTTTTTTTGTCAGAAACGACCAGGCCACAAATGGTAGCTCAATGAAGTGGCTTATCACGTGGAAATGTATAGCAGACAAATACTCTAAATGCACGTTTATATATGTGGAGAGAAGATCCCAGAGGACCCGGAGAAACATCCACGTGACCACGGAGAGAACATGAAATGTCCAAATATACAGGCGTCAGGTGAGGGATCGAACCCAGGAACCCACGACCTCCTGTATACCAGGTTAGGGAGTTAACATCACACCACCGCGGCGCCCCATATATTGACCCATAACACTTGAGTCTATCCCTGTATATTCGCAGTTTCCATGTTCTCCTTGTGGTCGTGTGGATTTTTTTTCCGGGTCCTCCGGTTTTATCCTCCACAGTTAGAAACACGCGTTCAGAGTATTTGGCTGCTATTAATTTCCACACGATAAGCCACTTCGCTGAGCTGTCATTTGTGATAACCAGGTCGCTTCTGAAAAAAAGAGCTATACAGCTCAGTGAGCCTTACCTGGTAAATTGGCAATAGTTGTAGTTTAGTTTAGAATAAGCGGGGTGTGTGTGTGTGACCACACATAGACGTGTGCTGCTCGTTGTTCAATTCATTGAGAAGGCGCGATAACGCGCACAGGTATGGGTGGATTCGATGTGGCACT